TGGGACAACATACGCAGAGGCACTCATTTTAGGTCTCTTCTGCACATTCAAATGACTTTTACAATGTGGTTGTGAGAACAAGGCAAATATGAAGTAATTGTAAGGTTTCTATTCAAGGATTCTACAAATAAATCTTTTCCTCATTTCCCTCCTCACTACATACGCTCACAATCCCACTAGTTTCTTTTCTTTTTATTTTTTAAGATTTTACTTATTTATTTTTAGAGAAAGGGGAAGGGAAGAAGAAAGAGAGGGTGAGAAGCATCAATGTGTGGTTGTCTCTCATGCACCCCCAACAGGGGACCTGGCCCACAACCCAGGCATGTGCCCTGACTGGGAATCGAGCTGGCAACCCTTTGGTTCACAGGCCTGTTCTCAATCCACTGAGCTACATCAGCCAGGGCCCACTATTTCATTTCTTTATGAAGACATCCTGTTTTCATAGGTTCTTATAATAAAGTTAGTCACAACGGCCACATCTTTGTAGAAAGAGTCTTTCCTTCATTTGTGCTGAAAACATTATTAAAGGGCCAAATTAAGGGATTTCTTTGTCCTTCCAACTAAAGCCACAAAGTAAATAAAGATGGAAAGATTTAGACATTAAATACCAGAGTAATCTTCCTCTGTGGAACAGTCTCTTAAATTCAAATTTAAAACAAAAATGGACTGTATGTACATCTATAATAAAACAAAAATTTCATTTGTATGGAAAAAAAATGAAACAAAAAAAAAAGCAAAGTTCCAATGACCAACCCTCCCATGTGTTTTCTACTCACGGACGACTGTTCCTGACAGTTCTCTCTGGGGATGGACTATCAGTGACACACAAACTCTTCCTTCTCAGGCGGCAGATGACAAACGTGAGCAAGTCACCACACGGTCCGCCACCCCTCAGTCCTGAGGCCAGGTACCTTGATTCACGGAGCCAAACAGTTACAAGAGCAAAATAAGCTCTAGGTGTCAGGTACCTATGAGCTTTCAGAAGGAAAAATAAATAGAGGGCTATTTCTACTCGAGGCTGCTTTAAAAATGTTGGGTCTACAATTACATGCCTGTCATCCCAGGACAATGCTGAAACATAATGAATAAAACTATTAAAGTTAAAACACAGTAAATATCCTTAAGAGGGGGGCATATACGTGTAACAAAAACATATCTGACTGCTTGAAACATATTTAGCTTTTATTTGGTAGCAACAAATTGCTATAATCAGAGCACCAATCTTCCACTGTGCAGGAAGGTGAAGGAAGTAGCTCTGATTAGTATATAAAACTACTGTAACTGGCAACAATGCAAAAAGAAACAATATGGCTAATGTGTATATGAAATCTCATGCTGACTCACTTTAAGTCACAAAATTTTACATAATATAAAAATAACATTTTCCCAATTACTTAAAACTTTCTCATTTACCCCCTCCTCAGTGGAAGAATAGATAATAATACAGTAAAATGCCATACACTGAGCCCTGATAATTTAGAATTTAAAACTCTGAGGATGGGGTAATATTTATCTTCTGATCTCTTAAAGAAAAAAAAAAAAAAGGCTTACCAAGCAAATGCACAGTGTAAAAATACAGTGGAAATATTTTACCTGTTTAAGAGAAGTCATTTTTTATTCATGTACCTTTATAAAAAGTTAGTTGCCAATATAAATAAGCTTGATCTGTTCACTACGAAAGTGGAGTGACCATATACGCTTGAAATTAATAGTCTATAATAATGTTTTTCACTCCTTTCAATTAATTCACATTCATCAACTATTATTATTTTAACTTTTTATTTTTTTAATTAAAGATTATTTGTTTATTTATTTTTAGAGAGGAGAAGGAAGGGAGACAGAGAGGGAGAAAAAAACCAATGTGCTCAATAAACATGGATTGGTTGTCTCTTGCACACCCTAACTGGCCAGAAACCCAGGCAGGTGCCCTGACTGGGAATTGAACCAGTGACCTTTCGGTTCACAGGCCAGTGCTCCATCCACTGAGCTACACCAGCCAGGGCACTTGGTTAAATTTTTAATGAACTGAAATAATATATTAATCAGTCTTTATCCTTAGCTCCCCTAGTCACTTAAACTCTGTTTCTTCATTGATTCTTAGGGTTGAATCAACTTTAAAGCATGCTAGGGAAAAGATCAGGGTAGCAAATCTTCCATATAATATAATAATGGAAGAAAAAATTCCCATTTCAAAGTCAATTATCAGTGACTTCTGGATCATTTGCTATTTGTTTTCCAGGCCTATAAAAATGGTATCATAATCCTAATACTGGAAGATACAACCATTTAAGCGGTTTCAAAGCAGCTGAAATTAAAAAGAAATGTAACACTCGTTCATTTGACAAGTTGCCCCCAAACTGCAGATCAGGTAAAGTAAATCCAATCTGTTAGTGTTAGTTTACTACTTATGGGAAAGCAATCTAAATTATAGAAAAGACCCACCTCCCCTCCACATTTAGAAATCTGTTTAAAGACTGTTTTTAATGCCCATTATATAAACAACATTAAATATTTTAAGTTAGAAAATAGTGTTAATGGTTTATTGGTAAAAATCCAAATTCTAGACTTTATAGAATTAGTAGTTTTGGTTGGTGTATTAACATTCCACCTTAATTCTTTGCTAATATTACAAAGAAAGAAGAAAAGCTAGAAATATCTATAAAAATAAAATACCTTATAACCAACATCTAAGCAAAATATAAAAGTTGCACACAAATTGCCAATAAATATAAACATCACAATAGAAAAACTAACATTAAAAAATAAATTCATAACTGCTATTAAGACATTATAAAAATGAAAAAGTTTAATGTGCATTGACATTTGCGAACATAGTACACTCCAAACAAACAATATAATTTTACTATCATTATTACATAATGCAGCATAGAAGGTTACTGAGGTGTGGTGTTTTTTTGATTTTAGTCTACTCTTTTTTCGAAGAATGCTCGCCAAATTCACAAGCAAGAATGGTTAGGTGATCACTTACTGCTATTTACTGTTTCCTAGTCTGGGGGGAAAATGCTTTCTGTAGAAAACTAAATTTCTAATAAGTATGAATGGTCCTGCTATTACCCTTCCTTTTGCTTACTTCCTCCAAAGCCCAGTTTTGCATGTTCTGTATCTAATGAACTGATTACAGCCTTTCAGACGCGCTGTCATCGTTTTGCATAGTTCCCCCATGCTAGAAAAAAAGAGAATAATTTAAAATATTTTTTGGTTCCTAAAAAAGAAAACTTCCCTAAATACATAGACATAATCATTCTCTTAAACTGATCTCCATGATGGCTCGGCTCCCCCTTTACAAGCAGTCTTTTTAAAAAATTATTTAGAAAAGGTGGCCAATAGGTATTTATAAAAGGGCCAGTCTGTGCTGGGGGACAAAATGGACAGGCAGCCTACGAAATATAATTCCTTTCCCTCTGGGCACCTACTACTTCACCCATACTCTTGTTAAAAAGTTAAAGCAAATTTGCTGTTTTATGTGCCCTGGAGATTAGCATCAACACAGCTGAGAACTGAAAACATTAAAAATTTTGTTTTCAAACTTACAAAATATATTTGGTGAGCATTTACCTAGATAACTTTACTGAATAAAAGCTTTATTTCACTCCCTTGGACCAGATTCAGGAAAACGAGTAACATTATTTATATGAAACTGTCATACTCTTGGAGTTCTAGAATAATTTATTTTTTTTAAGTTTTAGCCTCATGCTATTTGAAAAATAAAAATCTTTAGCACCATCTTCTGAAAAGGCACTTTCTAAGAACCTCCTTGCTTCACAAAAATGATTTAAAAATTTAACTCAGAGGGATAACCCAAGGAATATCCTTTCTTACTGAGACCCTAGATACATTAGATTTTGGTTACCTCAGACATTGATTTCAAAAAGAAATGAGACCAATGACTGGATATATGATTGGACAGAATCATTTTGTAATACTATTTGTTACTTGATACTTCAACTGATTTCTCATTGATAAATCTCAATCATCCATATTAAATTTTTTATCTATTTTTAATTTGAATTAGAACCTTTAACTTCCATACTTTAAAAAGCAAAAGATTCTTGAGGCTCAATCAACAATGTAAAAACCCAGAGCACTATCTTTGATGGGTAAAGAAAAATAAAATTCAACTAGTAGTAGGTAATATTAGTACAAGCCTTGACATTGTATTTTAGTTAAAATAAATTATTTTGACATGGAAAATTATAGACTGAAATGTACCATTTTTATATATATAGTGAGAGTGAGAGAGAGAGAGAGAGAGAAGGAAGGGAGGGAAGGGAAGGAAAAAGAGAAGGGGAGTGAAGGAGGAGTAAAAGGGAGAGATTTTATTCCTCCTGGGAGTCAGCTTAGGTTTCACCAAAAACAGTGTCATTTCTAACATTGCCACTGATCAAGAATGTTCTTAGTATAAGCAGGATTTTTTTTAAAAAACAGGATATTTTGGAGAAAATCCTCACTTTCATATTTCTGTAGTACTGATTTTACCAAGTTTTCTTTGCTTATTTTTTGACTCCTGCAGAATCACAAAAGTGCTTTATATGATCAAATGGGAGAGAAACAGGAAAATAAAGACTGACTCCAGAGTCAGAGTTACACCGCCCTCCTTCACATCAAGTCCCCCAACTATTACGATTGTAGCTGTAACACATCCATGAGTTCTCAAAAAGAATGAAAAGGATTAACACTATATAGGGATAAAAAAGCCAAAATAAAGATGCCAGGCCAATGAAGATTAACTGATAACTCATAAAAGATATATATTTTTAAAGATTTTATTTATTTATTTTTAGAGAGGGAAGGGGGGGGAGGGAGAGAGAGAGAGAGAGAGAGAGAGAGAGAGAGAGAGAGAGAGAGAGAGAGATAGATAGATAGATATGTGCGGTTGCTGGGGGTTCTGGCCTGCAACCCAGGAATGTACCCTGGCTGGGAATCGAACCTGGGACACTTTCGTTCCCAGCCCACGCTCAATCCACTGAGCTACACCAGATATTTTTTTTTAAAAAAGGCAAAAGCTTTTTATAAAACAAAAAACAAACAAACAAACAAAAGAAACAGATTGAAGGAGGAACAGAGAAAATTAAAGAAGGATATAAAAGGTAATTTAAGTAGCAGGTTACCGTTGGGGGCAACCTATCTTTAAAAAAAAAGTATTCAATAGGAGAACATCTAAAATGATGAGTTAAGCAAATCTTAAAATCAGGTTTTATGATACTGAATAAAAGTTATGCAGAACTGTCAGTTAAGCCTGTTGGCAAAACATTACTATCAAATTTGAAATAGCAAGACTACAAAATACTCGAGCTAAAACCAAGTGGCTGGCTTCATCCACTTCATAAAATCACCACTCCTGGTAAATTCAGGTTAGCCTCTGAAAACACCCACCAAAGTCCTTGAACAAGGGTCTCTATTTCCTGGCCTATAATCCATTTAATTACTTCAGATATATTCCTGGCACTCTGAGTGTTCACCTTTTCTTAAACACTGAGAAGCTCTGCCAGCCATTTCTACTGAACGGCAATTCAGCTTTTATTTCCCTAGATACACCGGAAGTCTGTCATGACCGAGTCTGTCATGAGTTCTATCATACTAAAATCCATTTTAGTACAAATATATAAGTAAACATTAGGCAGTAGTGGGCCATCAGAGAACCTTGTTGGGAATACTAGTAGAGAACTTCAGAAGGCTGGGAGTCCCTATGCTAGAAGGTAGAGATTTATCTTTACCATGTGCTTCCAGAACACCCAGTACGTTCCTACTAGAATTCCTTCCAGATTCTCTTCTAGGAAGAGAAATAAATGAACAGGTTACAAACAGGAAGATTTCCATAGAAGAATATTTTTTTCTGAGAAACTTGTTAAAGGTAAAATATATATATATATTTTTTTAGTTTTATTTATTGATTTTTCGAGTGAGAGAGAGAGAGAGAGAGAGAGAGAGAGAGAGAGAGGGAGGGAGGGAGGAAGGGAGGATGAGAGAGAGAAACACCAACTGGCCGTTCCACTCATTCATGCACTCACTGGTGGATTTCCTGAGCATGCCCCACTGAGGATCAAACTTGTAACCCGGGTATATCAGGACAACACTCCAACCAACTGAGCTACCTGGCCAGGGCAAAAGGTAAAATAAGAAGAAATAAAGGACATTTTTACTTCTATGAAAATATGCCAAAACCAGTACTGAGGAGGCTGAGGTACCTTTTTTCAAAACTGCTAAAAGTAAAACTCCGTATTTTTAAAACAAATAAACACTATCCTGGTATTAAATTGAAACTAAAATGGCAGCACCCTTTGTTACCTTGGTAGTTCATGTTCTTAATTATTACTGAGGGAAAAAAAGAGGAGGTTCTAACACTAGCCTTGAATTCTGCTCATCTCCTTACTGTTTGGTGTAGTTAACTGTCAGACTCTACTTAAATAAATATAGCAGCTACAGTATTATAAATGTATGGTCCTCAATGCCAGTAACTTGAGACTATAATATAATAACATGTATCAGCACTTTACACAGACTCATTTGCTATCCAGGATATACATTAAACTCCCAACTCTTCTTTGCATGAACATCAATTATACCAGTTGCTAGAACTGACATTTTAAAGTCACTCTGATACTGTACATCACAGACAACAGCAGACCAAAACAGCATTGATTATATAGTTAGTTAGTGAGTGAACAGAAAGGTCGCTATTGAGTTTCATGGCCATTACATTCAGAACAATCTTTTTAAAAAATAAAAATGATCAGTAATTCTACACCAGAAGTGCAATAATAATTAAAACAAAATTCAAAAAGTACTTGCCTCTTACTCTTTTATCTTAAAATTCTAAGTACAATGTTTCTTCTATGTAAGTGTGACACACTAATTTGTTAGTAAGCAAAATAGAAATATACTCTACATACTCTTTCAAGTTAACCAACTTTAAACTAAACTAATAATGTTTGAAACTGTAAGAAACCCTAAAAAAGAACTCACTTCAAAGGTAAAGCTTTATATTTAAAAAATATTTGTTTTCCTTTGTAAAAGTCCTTCCAAATACATTTAAATTATGGGCTGCACTCTAGTGCATGTGACACGAAATAACTGGGAAAAAAAAAAAAAAGGTAAAGCAGTATATAGCGAAGGGGTATCTACAGTTCTTCACTGGGCCCTCAAGTTTCCCACATGAATCTGCGTAACTCTCTCTGATAAAGGGAGATGTTTTACTCACACTGAGCAAGCACACAGCAAACAAGTTTTTACCACCTAGAATACACAATTTTCTTCCCTTGCTCATGTTGCTGACTACTATATTCAGTGAATTTTCAATGTAAAAAAAAATACATGCTTTACAGGATTTTTTGGAGGAGAAGGGGGTAGGGTTGGGAGAAAAAATGTATATACTGTACTATACAAATATTACCTCATGTAAAGAGCTTTGAAACAGTGTTGTAAATTGCATTTCAGACACTTCAATATAATAAACATACAAAATACAGTACTTTCTTAGTTTTCTGAGAGGGACAAAAGATTTCATAACTGTTGGAGGACATGGGCTCAGATTTTAGGCTCAAAATACAGTAACTGGCAGTAAGAGTGGGTTACAGGTGAGAGAAACTACAGAGCTAACCCATTCGTTTTCATGAACAGATGACATTTGGAAAGGTTAACGACAATGCCCCCTGGAAATAATCTGTAATAGTTATACTCTGAACCAGTGCAAAAGAAGAGTAAAATGCAATTTTTGTGAGTTACAAAGTGCAAAGTTCCCCTGAATCCAATGTTACTGGTGAACTTGGTTTTGACAGCTTTATGGTACTTTTTAATATCTTAAAGCGAAATCCATCAAACAAATTTTGCAATACTTTCCCCCACATTTCAGTTAACTCATTTAAAATAACTGAAGTCCTAACTTCCTTTGTCACCATAACCCTAATTTTAAAAGGAAAGTTACACTGGTGGTAAATTGGCAAAAATATTTTTTAAAATATTACATTTTCCTGACTCATTTTAATAAATGAAAATGGGCCCCTAACCAGTATGATTCTTCCATAAACATGATTCATTTTCAAAGAATTTAAATATCTTCTAAATTTTAATCTATTCATGATCATTTAAGTCAAAGTTCAACTTTATTTTTAATATTCAAGGTCAGACTTGCTTTAGATTTGAAAATAAAGAAAAACTTTCCTTCTGAAATTAAGGCTGTATCACTCTGCTCTTTCAAAACCGCGGAGGTGCCTGCTCCAACACTGTCTGGGGCGGAGTGTCAGACAGACACAGCTTTCCTTTCTAACGGCTTATTGCACGAAAAAATAGCAAAAACAGGTGGTCAGTTCTTAAAATAAACATGATTATATTTCTATAAAACATGTTGCCAATACAGTTCTATAATCATTAAAGCACTACTCTAATAAATATAAAAGAAAAGGAGGCTATACTTCAAAATACATACATATATATTTATATATACACACGCATATATATAAAAATATATATATATGAAAATCACATTAAGGTATGAGAGGCAGCAAGTAAACTAGCAAAAAAAAAATTAACTTGAACAACTCCTTCTTTCTCTCACTCCAATTTCAGAGGTCTCAACCCTACAGAGTTCTAATCATTTAAAATATTTACCCTTTAAAAAAATCCTTTAAGGGATTTCCATGTATAACCCACAGAAACAGAAGGCTTTAGAATACATATCACTTACAGAGAGAGAGTTATAAGTTCTGACAAGATTTTATATTTATAGCAGCTTTAACAAACTCACTAAAAAAAAAAAGAATAGGTTGCTACTGCTTATGCACACCTTGCACAAGTGGCAAATGTAAATTCAGAGCAGGAGGTGGCAGACGCAGACTCTCACAAAAACATATACACATACACACACACATACATAAAATAACTGCTTCTTAAGAAAGCAATATCAAGAGTTGAGGACTTAATATTGTGTATGAGACGAGAGAGGAGTGGGTGTGCAAAATAAAAGTCTACTTTGCGATGCTTCATATTCAAATGAATCAGATACACAGACATTTGAATGTCACTGGTAGCATTAAGGAAAAAAAAAAACGTAGGTGATGAGGCAGGGGAGGTAGAGTGAGAAATAAAAGTGGTGGTGAGCGGACAATAAAAGGGAAAGAAATTTCCCAATGGAATGAATTATAAAATATATACAAAGAACATATATATCTATTATCAAGGTAGATCCAGATATATATGTATATGAAGTATACATGTATACACTTAAAGTATACACAGATACTTTTTACAAGAATACACGAATGCACATTAATTTTTTCACACACATAATTATGAACAATCACTGATTATTCATATAGGTGTGTTTTTTTAAAATTATCATTTACCTTTTCTTTACTTTTTTTGCAAAGATAGTTGTGCTGCCAAGCAACTTGAGGTAAAGGCATTAAAAGGGTTAGACTATAGAAAGTGAAAACAAAACAATGGCGATACTTCCTACAGGAGACCGCACAGAAAAGCAGTTGGCTGGTTTCATATTGCATAATGGTGCTGTGTTCCTTGATGAAGTAAACAATCTTCCTTGTATCAACATAAAAATCAGACCCTGGTCCCCACAGTGTTGGTTTCTGTATGGCTGGAGGCATCCCCACTCAACAGATTCCATGGAAACATACGTTGTATGTCAATTCATCTTTCAGTTCTTCCTTTCAGAGAATACTCTCAGATTTTTTAAGCAAAGTACATTGTGCGTAAGGTATCTTGGTGAATCTGTACAGCCTTGGCAAGAGCTTGTGGATCGCGTCCATTGCTCTGTCCTGAAACGTGACTTCCTTCAGCACTGTAAGAGAATTGGCAATGAACACACAAGCAAACTCTACCTGATGTCATAATTCTGAAAAACATTATTTATTGTAGAGAAGTTCCAAATTTCTTTTTTTAAAACAGAGGCAGGTATAATTATCTCCTACATGTCTATTACCAAGCTTCAATAATTAACTCAGGCCAATTTTACTTCTCTCACCTGCCCAGGATTATTCAGAAGCAAATCCAAGATATTCTATAATTTTGTTGGTATATACCCCTTTAATGATCAATAATCTCTCCCTTGAGTTAATTTGGTAGAGCAAGTAAATCACTATGTCATTCTGTCACTAACAAGCTTAGACTGCACATTTTAATGGGAACCCCTATTTTGAGCAATCAGCTCTATCACTGTTCTTCATATGGATCACTGACTCTTCTAATAGCGCATGCAGCTTTAATTGTAAATGGCACCTCTAGGCTTATGATAAACAGAGAGGCATATACTTACATGAAGACAAAGAAATTTCCCAAGAAAATCCTAACATGCAGGCCATATATGAATTTGGGCAAAAATCTGTTTTGTTATGCTTTTATATTACCTGTCATGTTCCTTGTCTACGAGATGATATCTGGCTCTGAATGCCACCAGGTGAGCATAATACGCTGGTGCAGGTATAGAAACAGAACGTGTACAGCGCACATAAGTGTGGCAGAGCTGGTAAGTTAGCAGCTGAAGTTCATCTGCAGTAAAGCAGTTATCATCCCATAAAACATGATAGTGTGAAGGACGGCTGGTACCCTATAGAAAAGGCAATGACATACTGTTGATTTCTAAACTTCTAAATAAATATTCAGCTCAGACTAAGTTATATAAAAAGTCAGCTTTGTACATTAGCAAAACATATTCTAACTTAATAACCAATTAAAAAAACATTTAGTTGATTCTGGGTATACAATAAAAAAAAGTGAAAGCAGTGACCTGAACAGATATCTGCACACCTATGTTTAAAGCAGCATTATTCACAATAGTCAAAAGGTAGAAGCAAACCAAGTGTCCATTGATAGGTGAGTGAATAAACAACCCATTATATGGACGTGGTATATATATACAATAGAATATTAGTCAGGAAGAAAGGTCTGATACATTCTACAACATCAATTAACCTTGGTGACATTATGATAAATGAAATAAATCAGTTTCAAAAAGACAAATATTATATGATTCACTGATCTAAGGTGCCTGGATACCTGTAGTAGTCAAATTCATAGAGACAGAAAGTAGAATAGTGGGGCTGGGGAGAGTGGGTATGGGGAGTTAGTGTTTAATGGGGACAGAGTGTTGGGGAAGATGAAAAAATTCTTTTCTTTTTTTTTTTTTTAAAGATTTTATTTATTTATTTTTTTAGAGAGGGAAGGGAGGGAGATAGAGAGAGAGAAAGAGAGAAACATCAATGTGCGGTTGCTGGGGGTTATGGCTTGCAACCCAGGAATGTACCCTGGCTGGGAATTGAACCTGGGACACTTTGGTTCCCAGCCCGCGCTCAATCCACTGAGCTATGCCAGCCTGGGCTTGAAAAAATTCTTAAGATAGATGGGGATATGGCTGCATAACAATGTGAATGTACTTAATGTACACTTAAAAATGGTTAAAATGGTAAGTTGTGTGTTATGTATATTTTACCATAATAAAAACACCAAAACATTTACTTGAGCTCCTATGTATTAGTTACTATGTTAGGTAATAGGGGCTTCAAGAAAAACAAAGTCAAAGATTTCCTGTTTTTTTTTTTTCCCTTAAATTGATTGATTGATTGATTGATTGATTGACAGAGGGGAAGGGAGGGAGAAAGAGAAGGAAACATCAGTGTGTGGTTGCCTATGAGGTGCCCTCCACTGGGGACCTGGCCCACAACCCAGGCATGTGCCCTGCCTGGGAATCAAACCAGTGACCCTTCGGTTTGCAGGCCTGTTCTCAATCCACTGAGCCACACTGGCCAGAGTCTGTTTTTTTTAAAACAAAATTTACAGAGGCCTAGAAACAGAGCATCTATAATTACAAAACAACTAATAGGTGGCATTAATACTGCTGGCATTTAACCTGTAAGAGATCACCAAGGGCAGTAATTGTAGGGGTAAGCATTGGCTTTTCACCGAGTGGGGAAGGAGTGAGATTTGGCCTTTTTGGGGATGTTGGGGTGAAGAGACACTAGAGAGAAGGAACCACCTTAACCAAAGCAGAGGGGGCATAATTTTTCACGGTGCATTTGGGGAATGGCTACCAGACCAGTATGAACAAAGTATGGTGCATGACGGGAAAAAGATGGAGTTGAAAAGAAAATTTTGAATCAGACTGAATGACATGTTTAGGAATTTGGGCTTTCACCTCTAGGTGGCAGAAAAAACACCACAGTTTGATTTTTTACAGGAGAGCTTTTAGGTATGATGAGATTGAGGTTTTGTAAAAATAACATCAGCAATAATATGAAGACAGATTAGTAATAGGAAGAGACTGAAAGCAAAGGAAGCAATTAAGGAGGCTGTTGCACTAATTTTGGTGTGAGATAATGAAGGTGTGAACTAAGGAAATGGCAGTGGCAAAAGAGTAAAGGAGAAAGATTAGCTTGTACTTTAACAATATTTGTTTGTCAAATACTTTGCAAGATTTTGGGGATAAAATTCAAATTATTATCAAATTTACCTCCTCTAAATTATGTTCTCCCCTAAAGAATGTATACATAATATATTGTCCCTTCACACACATTCAGTATTTACTAAACACTCACTATATGCCATGTCCTGTATCAAGGTGCCAGCCACACAGTAATGAATAAGACACATTCCAGAGATGAGACAGGTAACATAGAAATAAAACCATCAAAAATTGAACTATAAAGAGAATTAAAGTTTTTGGTTAAATACATTGAGGATATATTCCTGTCTTGAAGATGCATTTGCATTATCAGTGGTATCCAGAAGTTCCAAAATAAAAAAAATCTTATTTAACCAGCTTTTTCAAAATTTATTTGAACAGAGAAACTTTTTTTTTTCTCATTTGTGGTATTTATTAAAAAGTCATAGCAGCGGTGTTCCTTGGGATACATGGAGGGAAATACTAGGCTCAAAATGTACTGTGATAATGTAGATATTATCTCTAGAAGGTCCTCTCAATTTCGTTTTTAATTACTCTCCACGAAAATGTACAACACTGATTGTAAAGAGGAACAGATACAAGAACACAAGCTCTGTCTCTGCTTCTGGGAAGTTTAAGCAGCACTGAATTAAATAGAAATAAGTCCCTCTCAAAGTAAGAAAGGGGAAGAAATTTATTTAAAGTTTCATCTAATTTCATGTGGAAACAATTTGGGGTACAGAGAAGGGTATTCCTCTCTCCTTTTTCTGAGATTAAAAAAAGGTATACATATTAATGGACATTCCTGAATTAAAATATTTCACCCAAGTGTTTGTTGGCTTACCTGTATTCCCGCGTGGCTACAGAGGTAAAAATCAAACTCGTATGGGTGTGTAATGTCTGTGTCAACCGTTGTTCCAGCTGGGATATTGCCACTTCTTCCAACCTGGATTTATTTGGTCAAAATTTAAACAAAACAAATGTAAAAAATGTGTCTAAAAGCACTTTTAAAAATATATAAATACATAGGCTGATCCCACAATCACTAATTTCAGCTTGAAATATTACTTAAGCAGGCATTAACAGGAGACCTTATTGTAGTCCTGGTTACTACTATTCTTAGTGTTGCTGAAAGTGAGAGATGATGAACAAAAAGTTATTAGTTCTTATTATATGCTTAGCTGGTAGTTGATCTCAGCATGGGTTGAAAACCTGAAAAAATTTTTTCAGGTTACTTTACTCCAACTTATGGTACTTGTGCACAGCAAGTACTTGTGAGTGTGTAATTTATGAAAATTAGCATTTTCCTTGAAGAACACTGTATTTTTAGAGAAAGAATGCTGACCATAACATCAACAACAGTCAACGTATTGTAACCCCTTTTGTCAGGCACCTTACATACATTATTTCTAATCCTGATAGCCCTGCAAGTCAGGTATTATTCCCGTTTGTTTGCGGAAACTAAGACTAGGGAATATAAAATAATTTGCCCACTTGCATACAATGAAGGACAGACCTGGGAGTCAAACACAGAAATGACTGCAAAGGCCCTGTTCCTTTTATTTTGTACTAGCAGTTTCAATATACTGTAAGGAAACAGACACCATGATTTTCTCTTGAGTAGGTATGTGAATAAGATGGTTCAAAATAATGAAAGGGTTATTAATAAAACATTTTAAAATACATACAAAGTCTGTCCAGAAAAAGTCCAGCCATTGTTAATATGATGAGAATGGTTTGAGCGACCTCGATGTAACCTGGCAGCCAAGGAGAGTGGACTGGAATGCACATGTGTGAACAATGACTTCACTGTATTATTCGGTGGGGGTGGTAGATGCTATTGAGTATGCATGTGCACTATGTGGCTGGCACATTAAAAATGACTGAGAGTAGAGCAACGAATCTGCATCAGATTTTGTGTTAAGCTTAAACAGAAACTATTTGGATGATTCAGATGGCCGCAGCTATGGGTAACAGGTGAGTGGCAGCTTCATCACAACAATGCGCCTCATGCATCATGCCTCATGTCTTGTGCAGAGTTTTTTTGGGCAAAATATCAAATCACCCAGGTGACTCAGCCTCACCTACAGCCCAGATTTGGTGCCCTGAGACTTCTGACTTTTCCCAAAACTAAAATCACCTTTGAAAGGGAAGAGATTTCAGACTGTTGATAAAATTCAGGAAAATATGACGGGGCAGCTGATAGGGATCAGGAGAACTGTGTGAGGTTCCAAGGTGCCTACTGTGAAGGGGACTGAGGTGTCATTGTCTTATGTACAATATTTCTTGTATCTTCTTTGATAAATGCCTGTATTTTTCATAGTGCATGGCTGGATACTTTCTGGACATATCTCATATACGTCCATTCCCTTCCTAATTATAAAAATACATACATTAAAATATAGAAAAAATTCTGTGAATTTTTAAGAAATCATTATTTAAAAATTAGTCTGTAAGAATTTCCACTAATCACTCCAGAAAGCCCCTAGCTTTTAAAAATACTAATTTTTACAAGGTATTTTCAAAAGAGAATGTATCTTTCTTCTTTTAACATTTAAGGACATTATGAACAGAAAGAAAAAAATCTAAAACTGAGTTTCTTCACAACAGAAAAGCATGAAAGGAATGTGGAATATTTAGAATGTTACCAGAAATTCTAGAAAGTTAAAAATTTTTAAGTATTAACCTATCTTGATGATTCTATATTCACAATCTTAGTTGAATCTGCTACCATACAGTAGAAACTTGGGTGTTGGCAGAGAGCCTTTGTGTAAAGTACTATGTTAGATAAAGTTGGCTTATGCTAGTATGACAACGGATATAAAATTACCCTTTCTGTCCTATCAGCACAAAATAACCGAGTGTGATGTCTCTTCTGAACTACAATGTAGGTTATTCCGGGTTGATAGTCTTTTTCCAAACTGATGCAGGCTTCTCGAATTGCTAGTAGTTCATAATATAATACCTAGAGTAGATGAAATGGAAAGATTTGATATAGTCAGCCGTTCTCTTACACACATTTCAAAGTAAGATAATTATTTAGTCTCAGTATTTCTTTCTTTCTTCCTTTTTTTTTTTTAATAAAGACTTTATTTATTTTTAAAGAGAGGAAGGGGAGGGAGAAAGAGAGGGAGAGAAACCTCAGTGTGTGGTTGCCTCTCGAGCATCCCCCACCAGGGACCTGGCCTGCAACCCAGGCATGTGCCCTGACTGGGAATCATACCTGCAACCCTTTGGTTCCCAGTCTGGCACTCAATCCACTGAGTCACACCAGCCAGGGCTATTTCTTTCTTTTTTAAAAATTATTTATTTATTTTTAGAGAGAGGGGAAGGGAGGAAGAGAGGGAGAGAAACACTGATGTGTGAGAAAAACATCTAATAGCTGCTTCTCATAATCCTAATGGGACCATGCATGTGCCCTGACTGGGAATTGAACTGGTGACCTTTCAGTTTGTAGCATGACACCCAACCCACTGAGACACACCAGTCAGAGTAGTCTCAGTATTTCTTAATGTCATGTATTTCATCTTATCTATTATCAGCAAACAGTCTTAGCAATCAAGGATGGTCTTAGCAATCTAGGCTTACATATCCATAGTAAACATTTTAGAAGGGAAATCTCTAAGGAAGCAACAAATTTTGACTTTAGGAACTCTCAATTAAGGCTTCTAACTTCAGAACTAGACACCATATTATAAACATAGTATCTGATTTAACCATAATATGATGAGATCCCAAGCAACCAACCTGCCTAAACTGTCCCTCTGAAACACCATCCCGATAGAAGATGATTCGAGTAGGTTTGAACCGAGTTGACTTATAAAATTGAATGAGAAGTTCTCGGACCATGGAGGCCAAGTCCTGGATGATCTCCTGTCGGGGTCTCTGAACTCTTACTGTAGCACAGTATCTGCTTGGGTGGGCATCCATACTCCCTACAACCTAAGTTGGAAAAGTAAAGAAAAAGAAAAATTAAGATTATCAAAGCTACATGGATATGAACTTACTGCAATAAAAAAAAATTGAAAGAAAGTACACGGATTTCATTTAGATTTATATTTTATTTTAACCTCACAATTTGCCACTGCTCATTTGGGGAGTAACAAAAAATAGATCATTCCTAGTGAAGAACAAAATAAAAGGCCTAGTACAGGGTCAAAACTTATTTTCCCATAAGAAGGGTGCACTTCACATTGAACAATTAGATACTAATTTCTGGATGTTGCTAGTAGACCTAATGATTAGCAAGCGGGGAAAAGAGACAAAAGATGTACATAAAGACAGTAAGATAAAGGAGATAAGTAAAAGAGATGACCCACGCAAACCCGATTTCTCTTTATATCTTTTATACTTCAGGAAACCACACCACCAGAAACCATACTGTAGACTTTGGTATCACCTCAGAAATGCTATGTTTCATACATTTTATAAGAATTTTACCTCTTTTACTGCAATGTCCTAGACCAGAAGGCTTGAATCCATAGTCAAGTTTTAGTGTGATGTACTTATGTTTTCTATCTAGGACTTGGGGAAACTAACTTCCTGTTAGGTATATCTTATTCATTTGAAACCAAAGCATGGAAAATTCTTACGTTTTTTCTTTTGTCTTAGATTAGAAAATAGTCAAGCTTTTACAAAAATGAACCAGAACTACTTGCCTACTTATTTATGTACATGAGGTGGTATCTCCTTTTATTTCATCTCATATATATATATATATTTATATTTAGTAGTGAGATACCATATATTATATATAAATATTATATAAATAATACATTATATACATCATATTATAATATATTATACATTATATAATATATAGTATCTCATTACTAAATATAAATATATATATAAATATATAAAGAACTGCATGGTATCTCACTACTAAAAAATAAACCTATACCCCTTCTGATGGCACAAAAAGCCTCTCAAAAGCATACTGGCCTCACAGGCTGCTATACTACACTTCAATTCCTTGCATTTTTCAACATTCCCCAAATGCACTAGGTTTTGGCAATCTAAATTTTAATTTCCATCACAATCAAGGTAATGTGTATTACACTATATGGCATTTATTACTTGTATTTGTTTCTCATACTAGTCTTTAAGTTCTTGGGAAAAGAAGCCATACATCAAAAAGAATCAATTAATAAAATCTATTTCCAAGATCTCTAATAATCATAAAAGTGGATATTTGGTGGAAAGAGGTTTAGTAGAAAAGGACAATGACTACCCAGAAGCCCAAAAGAATTCCAATATGCTTAGACTTCCTTTTCTTAGAAAAGGGCCTCAAAATAGCAAACCCAAATTAAGTCTTGAATTTCTTTTTTAAATCATTTTATCTTTTATAAGAACATTTTTATGAATATCAAATGGCTCACTACCATCTCTAAGACACTTGAAATTAAACAATTCATCCATAACTATAAGAATACAAAGCACCATAATTTATTAATATATGTCAATTTTCTTTACTAATGAAAATAGCTTTTGAATATATAATATTCAAAAGAGCTTTTTAAATATGTAAAAATTTTAATGTTACTATCATTTTCAAAGATAAGTAAGATTTATCAGATTGTTAAAACTTAAAATTTATATAAAGATTATTATAATGGATAATGAAAAAATATAAAAATCTTACAGCTTAATTTCTAAAATTTACTAAGTATTCCTAAAATATGTTGACATTTGAAAACACTGGCAGTTGTTAAAATGAAGCAATTTTCAAGTTGGGTAAAATATTATCTGGCTTTCTGTGGTTTTAAGAAAGACACTTAAAAGAACTGACAACAGAATGGTTACAGGCATAGAAATAGGCAAAGCTATAGTAGGCAGATGTTAAAAGTAGGAGCGGCAGTATTAAAATGAAGAATTCAAGTGCAAAGTATTAAAATGAACAAAGGTGGAAGATATTTTAGATAGAAAAATCTCCAACTACCAATCTTAAATATAATGTATCTTTCTGTATCAAAGTCACCACTGAAATACATAAACAATCTCTTTGAATTACAAAAAGTAACTGAAAACATAAAATCATGGAGGGGTTTAGACAAATTAAAGTAGGAAACAGAAGATTTGAGCAATATAATTAATAAACTTGATTTAACAGCTATATATGGAACCTGTAGCCCCAAACCAGGGCATAATCATTCTTTTAAAAAATCTAAAGAACTTATGAAAGTTGACTCTCTTTATATATATTTATAAAAGTTGGTTTCAAAGAAACTATCATTAAAATTCAAAAGTTGAAACCGAAGTACTGATCTTCTAAACTTTAGGTAAGATAAATCTGCCTGATGATACTCACAGCAGCAATAGAAGGCTTCTTCCCATCACCAGCTGGTGGATGAGTGACATCTGCTCCCAAAAATATCACTGGTTGCTGGAACACAGAAGGTCTTAAACACATTTTAAAAAAGAGTTAGTCATTAGTCAATCCATTTTTTCATTATCCATTTAACTGTTTCATACTACTGGAACACAATTGCAAGCTACTGACACAGCACAGAGGAGGTTCTATACAGACAGCTTCATAGGCCTCAAATACTGACAGCATTATTCCCTTAATTCATGAATCCCCCCAGTCAGTGAAGTAAAAGCTGTCACCGTGGGTCCACCGTGTCTTATTCAGAGCAGTTTTCTGCCTGAAGTCTTGGTGATGGTGGTTGCAAAAGCCAACTGCTGCCAGTGTTCCTCGTAACAGGCATAAAATGCTAAACTTCAAATTAATCCACCGATTTGTACTAATTTTTGTTTAATCTACTTACGTTTTTAGTTTATGTAATCTCTTTAGGAGAAAAAGAATCATTAAACTATACACTAAAAGGGATTACTACTCCCCATTCTATGGCCAAAAGTATAAATTGGAGTAACATAGTTACCGTCTAAAGTAGTTCATTTTATTTCTGGAACTATATCTTTTAAGATTCAAATGATTATTTCTTAGTTCTTGGGATTGTTGATAACATTCTATATTCATTCCATTTACAAATCTCCTCTCAAATTTAATAAGGATAGGAAGTAGAGGCAGATGGAAAAAGAGGGAAAAAAAGAACTTTTATGTTAAACATATATCCTTAATGTAATACTTGTTTGTATGCATACTGGTCAAGATTTTTAACTTTTTAAAGCCCTAGTTGCTTTAGCTATTAAAAGGAAACTTGCTGTTCAATTCTCCAAGTAACAGCTTCTTCCCCAGCTCCTGTTTCTAGCTTATTATGTGTCCTACTTCCTAACAGCTCCTAGACATGATGGTGACCCAACAGTACCATCTGCTCTCCCACTGACTGCAGCAAGGATTGATACGGTTCACTTAACTGATCTACTGAATTGACATTGCTCCCCATCCCCCCAGGCCCTCCACTCTTCCCTCACTTTCTAGGTAAACAGCCACATGACATTAGCTTGAAGATGACCATCAAATAACGAAACAATTCTTCAAGCTGGGCTCTCCCGTAAGAAATAAGTAAAGCTCTCAATACTTTCTAGCTAGGCAAGAGGTATCTTGCATACTAAATGAAAATGGAGGTAAGAGGGGATTTCCACAAGAAAATCTCTTAATCTTGCCAATCCAAACTCTTAACTTTTTGCCAAGGTGTCTACTTAGAATCATCAAAGTGTCTTCTTACACAGATGTTAGATATTTTAATATGCAGAAAAACTGAAATACTAAAAATAATGAATATTTTATTAAGTGAATAGCTTAACTTACCTTTGATGAGGTACAAGAATATTATTGATCCCTCCGAGTTTAACATTTATCTTTAGGCACAGGTTTGACAGAGTTTGAGGGGATGTTTTTATTACATTCTTTACTTGAACACACTGTGTAGCCATACCCAAAAGTGTATCTCCTACACGTTTCACCTCCGCTATGGAACAAATACAGATATGTCTCGTTAGAAAAAAGGTCAAACTTTACTGAAAATTAAGCTACTGTGTTTCTCCCCTTGAAATACATTACTGTATTACAGGGTAGCAAAAATTATACCAGTACTAAAACAATGCTGCTATAACGTAATGTATGCTGCTTTGAAGATCAGCTTAAGTATTTACCGATAATTTTTCCAGTTGTTTTCTTCTTGGTATAAGAAAGTTTATTTTTACTAGCATAAAAAAACTATAGCTGACAGGTATGGCTTAGTGGATTGAGTGCCAGCCTGTGAACCAAAAGGTCGCTTGTTTGATTCCCAGTTGGAACACTTGCCTGGGTTATAGGCCAGGTCCCCGCCAGCTGGGGGCATGAGAGAGGCGACCAATCGATGTTTCTCTCACATATCGATGTTTCTCTCCCTCTATTTCTCCCTCCCTTTCCCTCTCTCTAAAAAAATATATATATCTTATAAAACTATAACCACAACTGAAAAAGCATAAAGAAAAAAAAATCATACATAAATCCCTTATTAGTATTTCACTGTCCTCTCTTCCAGTAATTTTCTCCATTTATATGATTTTAATGCAGTTATAATCCTATTCTGTAACCTGTAATTTAAAAATACACAGGTATTACAGTGGAAGGAATAAAAGGCCCCTATTTATTTCCCCTTCTCTGCCATTAGACTACCATAAAGAATTCAGTGTATATAAGTTCTTATATATAAAACACATAGAATTTTAAAATAAAAATTGAGAACATACTAGATATTCCATTTTGCAACTTGTCATTTTCACGTAATAATACAGTATGTTCTTATAGTTATCCTGTTTTTAAATGCCATAAGGTATCATACACTGCTTGTTTCAGTTCTCATTATTTCAAATGATGCTATGAATAATACCCTTGTATATTTATTTTTGTTTGGTTGTGAAACCATAGCTTCAGAATAAATTTCTACAAGTAGAATTAGGGGTCAAAGGTATATATATATTTAACATTTTTATAGATATGACAAAATGCCCTCCTTAAAGATTCATTCATCATTCAACAAATATTAATGTACACCTAATACATGCTAATATTGTGCAAGGTTCTAGATATACAATAGTGAGTCAACAGAGCCACTGTGGCTGTCTTCACAAAGCTTTTAGTATAGTCAGAGAAATGGGAACTAGTTAAACTACAACTCAAATTTAACATTACAACTGTGAAAGCAACATAAAGGAGTGGTGCAAAGTGCTATAAGACAATACAAGTGAAAGAATTAGACCTTGTCAAGGAGGTCAGGCAAAGCTTTTCCCAAGGAAGGGATGTTTGAGCTTAAATTCACAAGAGTGTACATTTGCTTGGTGAAGGGTGGAAAGTGGGTTATGAGAAGCAATACAGGTAGAATGAAGGGGATGAACAAAGAATTTCTGTGGGTGGGGGGAAAGCATAAAGTGAGACGAATCCTAAAGAGTTAGAAAGTCATGATTTGAACACGCAAATCCTTGGAAGATTCACTTAAATATTAATTTTATCAATTACATAATGAAAAATGATTAAAGTGGGGGTGATAGAAAAGGAGATAAAATCAGATTTATATTTCAAAAAGACCACCCTGGATGCTGGTTATAGCTCTAATATGTACAAAGGCTTGCAAGTCATCACTCCTGTTCTCACAAGGCAAAAGCTATACAAACTGAAAATCATTGACTTTTCTTAGATCTATCAGAGAACTGAGTTCACAGAATAAACTACCACCCCAAAACAGGGGCATACACAGAATCACATTCAAGATCAGCTTATTACAAGCAGAAGCTGATGAAGCCAGTAACTCCCACCATAATTCAAGAAGAACAAAACAAATAAGCCAATTAAAAAGTAGCCAAAGGACTTGAATAGGCATTTCTTTGAAGATATACAAATGTCCAACAAGCACATGAAAAGATGCTCCACATCACTAATCATTAGGGAAATGAAAACCCAAACCACAATGAGATACTGCTTCAACACTCAATAGGATGGCATAAAAAAAAAAAAAAGGAAAATAAGTGTTGGCAAGGATGTGGAGAAACTGGAACCTTTTGTGCACTGCTGGCAGAAATGCAAGATGGTGCAGATGCTGTGAAAAATAGTATGGCAATTGCTAAAAACATTAAACACAGAATTACCATATGATCCAGAAATTTCAATTCTGGAAATACATCCAAAAGAAGTAAAAGGATTGGAACAAACAGCTGCATACCCATGTTCGAAGCAGTATTCTTCACAGTAGCCCAAAGATGGAAGTAATCCAAGTGTCCACTGATGGATGAATAGATAAACAAAATGCGGTATACACATGCAATGTGATATTATCCAGCTTTAAAAAGAAAAAAATTCTGACACATACTACAATATGGATAAACAAACCTTGATGGTATTATGCTAAATGAAATAAACCAGTCACAAATATTGTATAATTCATTTAGATGAGAAAACCAGAACAGTCAAATTCAGAGAGATGGAAAGAATGGTAGTTGTCTAAGGTGAGGGAGGAATGGGAAGTTATTGTTTAATGGGTACAGAGTTTCAGTTAGGGATGATGAAAAAGTTCTGGAGGTGGATATTGGTGATGGTCATGTAAGAATGTGAATATACTTAATGCCACTAAACTGTGTACTTGTTAAAATGGTAAATTTTGTGTTATATATATACTATCCCACACAGAATATAAAATTCTGACACATGTTACAACATGGATAAACCTTGATGACATTACGCTAAGTGAACTAAGCAAGAAAAAAAAGGATAAATATTGTATGATTATATTATATGAATTTACCTGGAATAGTTAAATTCATAGAGAAAGAAAGTAAAACAGAGGCTACCAGAAGTTGATGGGAGGGGGAATGGGAAGTTACTGTTTAATGGGTACAGAGTTTTTGTTTGGGATTATAAAAAAGTTCTGGCAGCCCTGGCTGGCGTAGCTCAGTGGACTGAGCACAGGCTGCGAACCAAAGCATCGCAGGTTCGATTCCCAGTCAGGGCACATGCCTAGGTTGCAGGCCACAGCCCCCAGCAATCACACACTGATGTTTCTCTCTCTCTCTTTCTTCCTTCCTTCCCTCTCTAAAAATAAATAAATTGTAAAAAATCTTAAAAAAAAAAAAAAGTTTAAAAAAGTTCTGGCAATGAGTAGTGGTGATAGAATGGATAATGGGTAAGTAGCGATTCACAACAATGTAAATATACTTAAAGCCACTGAATTGTGTAGTTGTAAATGGTTAAAATGGTAAATTTTATGTTATGTATATTTTACCACACATGCACACAAGAACTTGTTTAAAAGAAGTTAACCCAGGAATACTCCCACGAAAACAGCACATCAGGAGGAATAAAAACCATGATCAAAGCCTGACACCAAATGACTGACTTAAGGGAAGCCACCACCTCTATAAATATAAGACAAATGCAGAGATCCTAGGGCTCAGGCAAAAGAAGGCAAGACTACATACAGAAGCAGCTGAAACATAGGTAGCAGTACTCAGGACACAAAAAATTAAATAAAAGGAAGTGGCAAATGATGAGTTTTTCCATGAGAAAAACAATTGGGATAAAGGGTTTAAGAGGGCTGGGTTTTTTTTGGTAATTGTTTATTTATTTATTTTTTTAAGAGAGAGAAGGGAGGAAGAAAGAGAGAGAGAGAGAGAGAAACATCAATGTGCGGTTGCTGGGGGTTATGGCCTGCAACCCAGACATGTACCCTGGCTTATTTATTTATTTTTAGAGCAGGGAATGGAGGGAGAAAAAGATGGAAAGAGGGAGGGAAACATCAATGTGTGCTTGCCTCCCACACGCCCCCTACTGGGGACCTGGCCTGCAACCCAGGCATGTGACCTGACTGGGAATGGAGTGATCCTTTGGTTAACAGGCTGGCACTCAATTCACTGGACCACACCAGCTGGGGAGTAAAAGGGCTGTTTTTTAAAATAAGAATTCCAGAAAGCTTTAACACTTGAAACCATGTGAGTGGTAATTTGATTTACAAGCACACATTAAACAATTAAATGACTTTTTAAAAAATGAAGGAGAAATACGTTCTCAGACAGATAAAAATGAAGGGAATTTGTTGACAGTAGATTTGCTTACAAGAAATGGTAGTTTTTCAGAAAGAAGGAAAATTATATAGGTCAGAGAAGAATAAATAATATTTAAATAAACTCTTTTACTTTCTTATTCTTAAATGAATAGGTAACTATTTTAAATAATAATAATGTTTTGTTTGATTATAGCATATGAATAGATAAAATGAATAACAGCAATGTTTTAAGGGACAGGAGCGAAGAATTGGAAATATTTTGTCATAAGGTACCTACACTATCTGTGAAGAGGTACAGAGTTATTTGAGAGAGGACTTAGATCAGTTGTAAGTGTATATTGCAAACTCCAGGATAACCACCAAACAAATTTTTTTAAACAACTAAATTTGGTCCTGGCCAGGCAGCTTAGCTGGCTGGAATGTTGTCCTGATATACCAAGGTTGCAAGTTCAATTCCTGGTCATGGCACATACAATAATCAACCAATGAATGCAAAAATGGATAGAGTGATGAATTGATCTCTCTCTCAAATCAATAAAAAAAAAATAAAATAAAACAAGTATAACTGGTATGTTAAGAGAGGAGAGGAAATGAAATAATTAAAGATGCTAAATTAAAACCAGAAAAGGCAGTAACAGGGGAAGATAAAATTAAGAACTGCATATTGCCTTCAAAAAAACCCCCCAAAACCTTTAAATACAAGGACTCATTGAATCTCGGCTGGGTGGCTCGGTTAGAGCATCATCCCATACACAAAAAGGCTGAGGTTTCGATCCCAGGTTAGGGCACATACCTAAGTTTCAGGTTCAACCCCCAATTGGGGCATGTATGGGAGGTAACTGATCCATATTTCTCTCTCACACTGATGTTTCTCTTTCTCTTTCTGTCTCTCCCCCTCCCTTCCTCTCTCTCAATAAACATATCCTCAGGTA